AGTAAAATCCCAGGGGCAAATTTTGCAGGTGTTGTTCTAGGACATGGAAACAAAAACAAAAGTGGGAATCTTCACAAGCTTAAGTAGTTATTGCAGCTTTGATCCAAACCAAGATGATGTATCCTTTTTATTTAGTTCAGTTAGCATAAAGGGTCTGTTCTATACCCAGATATTGTCTGTAATTATAGAAATTAGTTGTCTAAAGAAAGTGAATCATTTCCAAAGTAGCCTAGGCAGAAGAAGGTGCATTTTGAGAAAGACCAATGAGTCAAGGGTACTTTATAAGGTTACACTTCTGAAAGGAATACAATAATTGTTTTCCTAATATTTCTCTCATTCTGGAAGTACTTGGAAAACTAGAGGAAGTGTGGAGATACTTTGTTTAAATTGAAAATACAAACCCATCTTTCTACTTAGAAATAAGTTATCTTGGAGGTGTTGTCAACTTATGATCAGTATGTTCTTCCATAGGCTTCAGTGGAACCTTGCATGTGCTGTAAAAGACTAACAACTGATGTAAATAACATTTGCTGTGTATACAGCTGCATTCTGCCCATGTTGTATGTTGCCTCCAGTGGCAGGCAATGGACAAGAAGTATTATTCCTCCTTGAACAGCCATGAAAAGAAGTTTAAACTTTACTATTTATGGAAGAGGAAGGAAAGATAACTTTCACTCTGTGAAAATCCACCACTTCCGAGGAGTAACCCTGTAGAGCTCAAATCAAGTCTGGTGAACTGGCCTCTCATTTCTGTGAAGATGCAGTTTGTTTACTGGAGGCACCTGCTTTCAGTTCAGGATATTTGTTCTTTTTTTTTTAAAGAATGACAATGTAAGTCCTGTTGTGCACTGCATTTTGCTGTTGTTTAAGGATATTTTAGAGTGAAAGATAAAACAGGCATAATTTCTTACCTAGCAGTAGGAACTAAATAACATTTCATCCAAAGTATAATGCAATAATTCTTCATAATTCATCATTGCTGTCAAAGTTTCAGGCATAGATCTGGTCTATGAGACTAGCCACATTTTTCCATTTTGGGAGGCTTTTGGGGGTTTTTTGACCTTTTTTTTTTTTTTTTTTTTAATCTTGCTGCAAAAAGATGGAACTCCACTGTTATATCCTTTTTGGGAATTCTGTTCCTTTTCTCTTGAAGTTCAGTTGATGACAAATCACTTGATCGGGCATAGCTTTCCAATGGCAGTACCACAGTAAATATTTTCAAGAGATAAAGCAAATCAAAATCCTGAGCTTTGTTGGTGGCTGAGTTTATACTTAGATTACACTTAGAGTTTTACAAGTAATTCCCATATAAATAAAGAAAAAACTTAAACTGGATTGACCAGCACCAGGAACAGGCTCAAAATTAAGATCACTATTTTAACAGCCTCTGTTAACTGTTTTCAACACCACCACAAAACAGCTTTCACAGTAGAGCATTGTATTACTCACAGATTTGCAATAAACCCCAAGAGCACTGGCTCTTGTTTGTATGTGGTACAGAAATGACACCTGCACCACATCAATAACCATGATATACAATCAGTGCACTTTTTCACGTGTGGATTTATGAGTAATGCCATACTCCATTTCCCATGAGGTCTCACCCTCTTATTTCCTCATGTGACCTGGGTTATGTTCAGCCTGATCAGTCATTTCAAATTTCCTCTTTTGTTTTTCAGGAAGGTTGCAAGCATTGCACTGTTTCTGAGTGTCCGACTCCATGTTTGGAACTGGTTCAACACTCCCTGCACCCTCCACCCCTGCCACCAAGTTTTATGGTGAGAATGGAGTGGCTTGAGTTTGACAGGTGTTCTTGGCTTTTATTGGCAGCTAATTACCTTCAAAGTCGATGCTGGCAATTAATGCTCATCTGCTTCTTATTAATAAGGCCATATTAACAAATGAGTCCATGATTTCTGTTTGGCCTTTGAACTCTTACACCTTTACTTCTTCTGCTGCTTGCTGCCAGTATAACTTCAGAGGCTACAGTTAATGGATTCTGGATTGAGACTGTGTTCAATAGACAGATATCTATAGATAGTAAGACTAAGTTCTCCCTAGCATAGTTTTATGATTAAAATAACCATAAAAATATAGCGTGCTTTCTTATTATTATTCAGAACCATTTAAAAAATTGGTCCAAACTGAATGTTGCCTGAACTGAATCTAAAAGGTAAGGATTGGTTCCTGTTACCCAGGCTGTTTTGTTTCTGTGAAGATACGAAGAGGTTTGGGAAATCTGCAGTAGGACACAGGTAGGAATTGCTGTACCCAGCTGTCCCTGGAGAATTGCTAGTGCTGCGGTGTCTCAGGAAGGGACAGAAGAATCAGTTCAGCTTTCCCCTGGACTATACAAAGAAAACAAAAGAAGGCTTCCCAGTGTTATTTCTGGTACCCTCAGCCAGTAGTCTGGAGCAGCTGAGGTCCCTCAAAGTCCTGGCCCAAAGCAAGTGCATTCATCCCTGTGGCACTGTGTATGTGTTGGGTCACTGGTTGGGTACAGGGCTGGGGTGAGGATAAAGCTCTGTTGCTGGGCATGGACAGTGCAGGTACAACATGGTAAGTAAGTTGCAAGGGGATGGTGCACACGTAGGGGAGGTGAAATCTTGGATTTACACTGTTAACATTTTGCTGCTTGTAGGAACAACAGGCTTTCTAACTACAGAATTCACACTTGGTTAAATACAAACACATTTTCATGTGTCTGTCCCTCACACAGAGGCTTCCTCTCCCCCCACCCAAATTGAAGTCAAAAAGAAGTTGCCAGAGTTTTTTATAAATGTAGCTAAATGAATGGTTCCTTAATCTCTTGGGGAATGATCAAGCTTTACCAGCTGAAGATAGAAGAAGAACAACAAAAAAATGCCAAGGTAGACACACATTCTGAAAACTTGAACCCAAACTGTTAATGTTCAACTAAAATGATAAACAACCAAAACCAGTGTCAGTTTATATATAGTGGCTGTATGTAATGCCGTTATACAAAGGTCAGTATCAATCAGGCTAGAGCTATCAATGTAGAGCTAACAACACTGTAGTAGCCAAGGTATTTTATTGTTGTGTTTGTTGAAAACTATGGACTTTTTCCATAGTCACCTCTTTTTTAGCTTTCTTTCATTTTTGGAAATGAAAGGCATAGGTGTGGCAAAGTTACTGTTGCAGCTGCAGACATGCCTTGACTGCAGAAGTACAGGTAATTACTTTTTCATTAATACTAGTCATAGGGAGGGAAAGAAAAACGTGCTTTGTAATAATCCCTAAAGCAAATACTTTGATTTGGAAGTCGTAGAACTCCTGAAGAGAAATTAACTTCCAATAGAAGTATAATCTTGTGTACACTGTTCTTATTTTGAAATCTTCAAAAGATTATTTTGCCTGTCCCTCATAGAACTTGCAGTGTTTCTTCCTGCAGTTATAAGAGGATAACCTTCTTGAGACAGGTGATGAATTATTAAAAACTGAAAAATTCTATATACAACTTGTGACAACTTAAATGGCATCATAGAAATGAAAAACTATTTCTCTGTATTTTCAAATTAACAATAATCTGAATGAGGCCTCTATTTCCTTGGCATTGTATCATATATTTAGACACATACATTACTAAGGTGGACAGTTTATTGTTCATCATTACTAGTGCATTAATTGGAAAGGAAATGTGGAATATAATATAGATATGCTGTCTTGACAGGCTGCTACTGTAAAGAGGGTTATTCTCACAACTTCACAAGAAAATCTTTTGCCTATCTTCAGCTTTTTCTTACATCAAATATCTCAGAACTGATTTATCCCTGCTATAATCTCAGATGGATTGATCTGAAAAGGAAGGGGAGAAGGAACCAGGTGACTGAAAGTGTATCATGGAACAGCTAACGAGACATCTCTAGTTTAAGGTCATTAATGTTGTTCCTGCATCCAGTGAAGGGCAGTGCTTCAGGGAGTCTCCAAAGTATTTGGATGGAAATGAAGATATGGACCCAGTTCCTTTGCTAGAGCTATATGGAGTGCAGAAATAAGACTATTACAAGACACATTTGCTGACTGTGATTTATACTGTATCAGTCCCAAGGTATTAATTTGGGCCCTCCTGAAGTTGCTATAACTCTTACCAGTTGTCAGTTATTTAATTTTGATAAATCAGGGTATGTCCCTAACATGTGCATCTGTCATAATTCTTCTTATGCCAGTCTGGGACCTTCTAAGGCAACTCTGAGAGCAGGATTTTTCTGCAAGCCATGGCAGCTCTCCTGTATTTTGCCTTGAATGTTGTATATCTGCAAAGATTTCCTGATTTGTTGTCTTTCACCCGGTTATCTCACATTCAGTGTTGCCCTGTAGATGTGAGGAAACACAGCAAGTACTAATTGGATTACATTGGGTTATCAGGTTAGGTTTTAGCCGCATAATTTTTATGCTTTTCTAAAGCATGTGCTTTTGAAATAGTCTCTGGGAGCTTGAGCAGAATCTGTCACTGGTTGGGAGGTTGGGGGTGGTGTGTGTCAGTCTCTTTCATCCTAGCATCTGCTTTTACATAATTGAACAGCACATCTCTGGTGGGGCTGAATCTCATCTCACCCTTCAGTATTGGTGGAAAAGGATGGGTGGGTGTAGCACTGTGTGGTGGTGTGGCTGCTGAAATCATCAAGCCATGATTTTAGCAGCAGGATTGAATATAAGCAGTTGTGGAGGGATGATCACCCTAGACTTCTAGGACATCACGTTTCGCCTTCCCAAATTCTGTTCTTCCCATTTGTAAAATAAAAATGACATCCACCTGCTCACCTTTACCTTACTTTGTGCTGTGAAGTGGAAGCTGTTAAGATAGTAAGAGTACCAAGTTCTGCAAAGTGTTATTGCTGTATGTATGTATGCTCATGTTTTGTATGTGTAGTTTTGTCATCTTGTAGTTCTTGTATACATACCTACACAGAAGTTGGTTTCAATTAAAAGAAGAACAAGTAAATATGCCCCCTTTCCATTTATTTTTTTTTAGGATCAAATTGACTCATCTTGAGTTTTCATGCTGCAATATTTTCACCTAAAAGCTGCGTTGAATTTTTATACAATGTAAGTATACAAAGGTAAGACCACAAAGCACAAAAAGACACTCCCAGATACATCATGTTGCAGTAAGAAATCCCTTAGGTGCATTCCAGATAGATTCCTTGAAATAAAAACAGAATAGATTGAAAAACAAGGAAATAATGTAAAAGTCTGAATGGCAGGATATATTTGCAGTGCAGATAATGTTAAAATATTTAATCTTTTCAACCTCTAGGGGGGACTATGTTTTCAGCGAACCTGTCTGTAAAGAATTTCCTTAATCTGCAGCAGGCAGTTCAGACTGTTGCTGATGTTAGCTGGAGCAAGTCAAGTGAATCTCGGGTTTTGTATGAGTTATTTCTGGGGGGGAATAGCCTGTGTCTGAAATGACTTTAGTGCTCAAAGGCCAGCCTGAAATCTCTGCTCTCGCTGCAGTTTGTGGGCATTCTGCCTGCTACTGATTCATGATTGCAGGATTTGTTCTTATTAAAAAGTATTTATGTAGCTGAAAAAAAAAAATGTCTGTGGAGGAATGTTGAATTTATAGCTTTGAAATATACAGTAAGAGAACTAATGATGAGGTGGATTAAGTGACATTTTGAATTGGGATTAACAAGTAAATTCTCGTGCGTAAATTCCTGGCTCTGAAAAATAAATCAATCACAGGCTGGAAATCTTTATAAAACTGCTTAGGGTGAAGGGGAAAAATTGAGCTGTTGGTGACACTTTGGGCTCTCAGAGACACTGTGACTCCCACAGGGCTGAATGCAGTTGCTCAGGTGAGTAAGGACCACATACTGTGGGCCAAATCTTTTTCTGAAAGCATCAAAATTGGTTTTTGGTGCTACTACTGCTACACAGTACTGGCTAGATGCCTCTTCTTTCTTTTCCCCCTCATACTGGCCCTGCTTCTCCCACTTTTATTAATTCCCAGCAGTATTTTACCTCACAAGGAGCAGCCAGTGTGAAGGGATGGCAGCCCTGTAATTTATGGGCTTACTATCTCTTCTGTTGTGTTTACACAGCTTACGCTCAAATAGGACAGCTCGGAGAGTATGGAGCTCAAACGTAAAATGAAAAAGATATTCTGGTGGGGGAAGGAGGGAATCAAGAGAGATCCGTCCAGATTTCAGTGTTGTAAACACATCTGTAGGGTCACCATAAAGCAGTGACTACAAAGGTCAGAATTTCAAAATGTGTCTTAAGAAAATGTTTTTGCAAGCTTTGTGGTGAAGATGGCTGGTGTGTTGTATATTGTAACATTCTGCTTAATCTCCACTATGTTATATGGAGTCATTTACAACAAAAAATGCCTGGCATAACTTACAGTACAGGAACATACAAAACCAGCTTCACCAGGGTGGGTGTTTATGTAATCTTCAAGAACACTCTGAAGTTCAATTCAGTAATCAAATAAAACTACATGAGAGGCACATTTCTCAGAGACACTACTCATCTTTGAATTTCTGAGCTTCTTTATTTTACTGAGCCCCGTTAGATAAATGTTCCTGAAAAAAAGATTTTTTGATGATTATTTCTATACATTGTGTTACCTGCTGTTTTCATTCCACTGCTCAGTTGTAATCGCATAAGCGCTTCCAGCTTTCTTTTCTTTTTAATTGAGGCATCCTAAAGGTGAGCAGATGGTCACCCCAGGAGCACAGGTTTCCCATTCAGACTGCAGTGTGAAGGCAGCAACAAAAGTAAGTTTACACATACTGCCCTGACAATGACCTCTGTGCTAAACTAAACAAACCCCTTCTGTAAAGCCAGGAGCAGTTCACTCACCTTTTGAATGCAAACCTGGCACTCTCTGAGTAACCATAAAACATCAAACCGCCCAGCCCTGCTCTGGGTTTGAGGGTGCATGCTGTTACGGGGCACAGAAAACTCCATAGAGAGCCATCCTTTAGGATTTTGCTGTCAAAAAGCATCAGGTATTCCAAAGCCTCTTTGACAAAACATTTTGCAGTTTTTGCATTGACTTTATTCCAGAGCAGGAGAGTCCATTTTAAATGGACACTAACAAAATCTTAAGCAAAGCAACTTTATGGCTAGTAAGCAGAGCTGAAGAGGGGTGCATTTAACATGCTCTGACTAGCCAGTGTTGTCAAGATAATTAAAAAGGTTATTTTTCTTTTCCCCCCGATAAAATAATCTCAGAACAGGACTTGTCTTCATCATTGGTGAAACCTCTGCTGCTTGGGGCATGAAACTGCATCTCTGACACAGTGGGTGGGAGGCCACTGGAGATTGCATCTGGGCCCTCTTGGCATGGGGGTCTCAGAAAGACCCTAGAGGATACAGGCAGGGGGCAGGGATCCGGTGCCAGCTTCCCCATAGAGTTATCCTGCCCCTGAGCACGGGCACCCTTCTGGGTGAGCAGATGGGAGCCGGGCAGCTCTGATGTACCCTGCTGCAGTGCCCTCCAGCGTGCTACTTGCATCCCCCGGTGCCGATGCTGTGACACCCCCAAATCCCCCAGCCCTTCCGAGCACCGACCCGTGAGCCCTCGGGGGAGGCGGGGGGGGGGGGGGGGGGACGGACGGTAGTGGGGAAGGGGCTCAAATGCTTCCCATATTCAGTGAAGAGTAGCTCAACCGGTCTGAAGCAACCCAAAAAAATATTTTAAAAAATAAAAAATGAAAGCGAGACGGGATCCCTTACTCCTCGAGCCTGGTCGCTGCGAGGGCAGCAGCCGATCGGGACGGTACATGAACAGACGGACCTCAGCCGTGACAGATGTGACCGGCGGCCACCCCGCCCCCCCCGTTTTCGGCGCTCCCCATGCCCGCAGCCCCGGCCGGCGGGAGAGGTGCGCGGGCACGGGGGGGCCGCGGGAGGGGGCGGGCGGGGCGGGCGGGAGCGCCCGGGCCGGCTCCTCCCTGCGCACAAACCCGGCCGCGCCGCGCAGGGCGTGTGGACGGCCGCCTCCGCTCCCGCGCTACTTAAGCGGGGAGGGTGCAGCTCGGCAGCCCCGCGGGGGGATCCGGCGGCGGGGGGGGCGGGGGGTAAGAGGCTAGTCATCCTCCTCCTCCATCATAATCTATTTATAAGAAAAGCAGAGCCGCGGTACTCCGTCCGTAACCCGCAGGCGGGGGCAGGTTGTGAATTCGCCAAACACCTGAGAAATAAAGCACGACCGAACAATTTCGAGGCGGGCGGGGAAAGGGTGGTGGTGGCGGTGGTTGGTGGGGAAGGGAGAAGAGAGAGAAAAGTTTGCCGGAGCTCGGGCGTCTCGGGGTGGGGGGTGGGCGCGATGCCGCCCTGGCTGCTCGGCAGCCTCTGCTGCGTGCTGGCGGCGCGGGCGGCGCTGGGCGGCGGCTCCGCGGGCGCGGAGGCGGCGGCGGAGGAGGAGGAGAAGCTGATCCGGGTGCTGGTGCTGCTGCCGCAGGACGACGCCTACCTCTTCTCGCTGGGGCGGGTGCGGCCGGCCATCGAGTACGCGGTGCGGAGCCTGCGGGAGAGCGGCGCCGGCCTGCCGCCCGGCTACGCCTTCCAGCTCACCTACGAGGACTCGGCGTGCGGGAACCGCGCTCTCTTCAGCCTGGTGGACATGGTGGCCCTGCACCGCCGCCGCCCCGACCTGCTGCTGGGGCCCGTCTGCGAGTACGCGGCGGCGCCGGTGGCGCGGCTGGCAGCGCACTGGGACGTCCCCATGCTGTCGGCGGGGGCGCTGGCCGCCGGCTTCGGCGCCAAGGGCGGCGAGTACTCGCACCTCACCCGCGTCGCCCCCGCCTACGCCAAGATGGGCGAGATGCTGCTGGCCCTCTTCCGCCACCACCAGTGGAGCCGGGCCACGCTGCTCTACAGCGACAGCAACTCCGAGCGCAGCTGCTACTTCGCGATGGAGGGCGTCCATGTGGTCTTCCAGGAGGAGGCCTTCCACATGGCCGTGCACAGCTTCGACGAGAGCAGCCGACACCTCGACCTCGACGACGTCGTCCGTGCCCTCCAGACCGGCGAGAGGGGTGAGTGGCGGCGGGGAGCCCGGCGGGGCTCCTCGGTGGCGGCTGGGCTCAGGGACGGGGCGGTGGGAACACCGGGAGGGGAAGGTCCCGTCCCCGCCCGTGGGGGAACTCGCTGCGGGGCTGTGGCGGCGTCCCCGGGCCAGGCATCCCTCGCCGGGTGGGGACCGGCCGCCCCGAGCGAGAGCCGTGCGCGCAGGAGCTCGTTAGAGTTTTGCCTCCCGCGGCGGGGAGGGAGGCTCGCCCTCGGGGACCGTGCTGGGGGGGTTTTGTGGCATAGTAAGAATGATTCCTGCGTTCTGCCGGCGGTCTGGGTTACTCAAAATCGCCCGCATCTGCGGAGCAGCAGATCTGTTGCTTATTCTCTGAGACTTTTGCAGTGACTCTCTGCAAGTTCAAAGTCTAAGCAAAGATGTTTTCTTCTCACCCTGCTGTGGCTTGCCACGGGGATCCTTTTCCCCACTCCTGCCGTTGGAAGCCCCATCGAGTACCTCATAAATAACATGCATTTAGGGAAGCGGTCATTTTGGGGGATGTGTGGATGCGAAACCCGTGGGTGTGTGCACTAATATTGCCACCAACTGTTAGCAAAACACAGTGGAGATAAATGGCTTGTAAAACATCTTGGAAAGTCACCCCTGGGCTGGATGAACTGGCTCTGCAACATGAAGTAGTAAAACGGTTGGAGTGCTTTGGGACATGCAGATCTGTAGTTAGATGTGTTTTAAAGTGAGATCTTGCTGAGAAATGTGTGGATGCATGGGCTTATCAAAAGGCATTTTCTGTTAGAGGCTTCTACCACCATAGGGTTCCCCAGTAAGTTATTGCGAAAAAAGAATAGGTGTGTTTCAGGAGTGGACTGCAGGATCAAGTTCAAGAAAGCCCTTACCTGTTTTTCAAAGAGGGTTAGATGTGCAAAATGTTTCATACAGTTTTTACATCCTTGGTTGTAGAATGCTAAATAGCATCAGATTTGGACCGATAAAGATCATGGCGTGCGTGACTGGCACAACTGGTGTTACCGTGCTGTAGGCAGCAGGCAGAGCAGCCTTGCACTGCTCTCGTCATTACACTGCTGTGAAATCCTTAATGTGTGCAGGAGTGTGTTGTGAGATAACTGAGGTCTAATAGCATATGGCTCTTTAATTATCTATTCACTGAAGCAGGTGCTTAAAATAGAGCTTTCCTAGTAAGTACCGTTCAGGGAAATAACACTGAATGGAGAGAAAGAAATGTGTAAGTGCTAGAGGAAACCGCTGTGTGGGGAAGGATGCTTTTATTTTTTACTCGGAGTAACTTTTGTGTGTGTGTGTCTTTGGCTTTACTGATGCTAAGAGCATAACAGCATGCTTATGGCAGGAAGAGTGTTTGCCCTTAGCCATAGGGGGCTGTGGCTATGCTGTGGGAATGTGACTGATGGCTGCAGACAGCCCTGATCTTCAGCCTGTGCTGACACTCTGGGAAGAGAGGCTTGCTTTCAGACTGAGCTTAAGTGCTTTGCTGAGCCAAGAATGTTGGTCTTTCATAATCTGTAACTTGCAAATGACTGAACAAAAGCAGCCATCCATCTGACTCCTTTCCCCCGCCCCGCCTTGTGCCCTATGGGGTCTCTCCCTCCTTCTCACCTCTTCGTTTGTCCTCTGGCTCATGCTGCTACTGCGAAATGCAGCATGTGGGGCCCTTCAGCTTCCAGTTGTGTCATTCTAACTGTAATGACTGACTGCAGGACTTGCCTGGCATGCTCCTTTGGGCCTGTGCAGTGGTCCTGCTGCTCACATCATCTTTCAGGTTGTCACAGTATTTAAAAGCCATATATCATGTGAAGGATGCACCATGTGCCTTGACTGACTGGTTGGGTTCTTCATTTCTCCTGGGGACTCCTTGAAGGTCCCCCCAGTGGGGCAGCAGAACTTGTGGGCAACAGGGCACTGTCCAGAGCACTTTCTAGAAATGTTTTTGGTTGGTTGGTTTTCTCACCAGTTTTTAAGGGCTCCTGTGTCACACCTACCGTGACACAGTCCTGGGCTCTGACCTTCTCTGTTTCCAGAGCCTGCTGGTGGTGGTGGTCCCACCTGAGTGGTTGGGCTTCCTTGAGCCACCTGGGTGGGAGTGGGCTTTCAAGCAGAGGCAGGATACCCGCTTGACACTCTCCCAGGGCTGAGAAAGAAGCTGCCCCACCAGTCGGCTGATGGGGACCTGGGGCAGGGACTGGCCCTATGGGTTAGGTTGCTGCTGTCTGGGAGTTTGCACTGAGCTTTCGGGGGCTCGGGGGGCAGGGGCACGCTCAACCATGCACCCCTGTTTGCCAGCAGCTGCCTGTTCAGTCCCCGGAGCCGCTTCAAAAGTCTCAGGCCTTGGAGCCACAACAAAATCATGATGAAAAATGTGCTGGTAAAAGTTAGCCACTTGTCTTTAATGAATTTCATTAAGTAGCTCAAGCTCCCTTGTAGGCTTGGTTAGCCACGCTGCAGATTTGATGCTGTACGCTCAGGTTTACCATAATGGTTGCAAAGCCAGGACTGTGCTTAAATGCAGTTTGCATAGGCATGTAGTCCAAGGGATGTGTGTAGTAAAGGGAATGCATACTCCTTTAAGTGGAATTAAACTCTTAAGTATTTGCAGGATGAGTCAATAATCCTAGTCAATAAATTCAGAATATTAATATTAGAATTACTGTGGTCTGCATGTATTATACTGGAGGGAGAACATTTTGTATGTGTTTGCACGTATGCATCTGTATGTACACAACAGTAAGGTACAGATGCAGATTAAATATACATAATTTACATTTTTGGAAGATTGCAAGGGACATCCCCATAGCTTATTTGCTTCAAAATCTTGAAATATGTAATCTTTGCTCTCCTTCTGGGTTAAAAACCACATCCAAATAATTAATATTACTTCCATTATGTTTCTTCAGAGGCTTACAAAATATGATTTAATGTATTTTAAAGTAGGGTTTTTCCCCCCACTCTTTTTTTTTTTTTTTATTTCTTTTGCTCAAGGTCTTTTACTGGTGTTGTGGGATTCTCTTTGATTCCATCTACAGATTATGTTTTTGTGATAGATGTGAATTATAAAGACAAAGCCAAGGGAGAATTGGGAGGGCAGCAAGGAAATGTTTCAAAAGGAAATCTCTCACCTATGCTGAAATTAGGAACAGTGAGACAAATTTGTTCCTGATGTGCATCTGGAAAAGATTTGATCCAAATTTTAATGTAAGAATTTTTTTCTTCTTCTTTTCCTTCATGCTAATATACTTCACAATGGTCGTGAAATATGTCCTGCTCTGTTGCTCTGGAAATTATTACATTACTCTGCTATGATCAGTAGGACAGAGCTATGCATGGTAACTCTCCTGAAGCGTGGGGATGTACCGAACGTGACTCACCCCAGCGGCGCATCTGGAGCTTTATGCCTGTGATGGCATCCAACCAGAAAAGTGATGGGAAAAGATTCATTGTGTGCGAAAAGATTTGGCCTGTTTGGCCTTTTCGTTTCTTATAATAGCAAACACTTCTACCCAGAAAAGATGAATGTGGTTTTGATTCAGTTTTATTGTTGGGGTGAAAATATTTGCGTACATTGTTGTTGCTTTTGAGCCCTGCCATGCGTGACGGCGTTCTTGGAAATGTGCGTGCAGTTGGTTTCAAATCATTGTCCCAACAGGATCTCTTACAACTCTGCTGTAGGATGTAGCCCTGAAGCACGCACTGGTACAATGCTTTGCTGCTCCCTCTGATGTCAGTAGCTTCATACCCATAGTCTTGTGAACCTATATAAAACTTTATAGTCTAATGCGCTCCCTGTGGGAGGTATCTCCCCATTGCTGAAGACCTTGCCTGGGTTTCTGCTTTCCCTTTGCAGAGGGAAGGGTGAGCAAGGGGAGTAGTCCCCCCTGCCCAGCAGATTGGGGAAGAGACCTCTCAACCACAGTTGTCACAGTGGGTGTGATGGTGCCCACACAGAGCACACCTGCAGGCTTCTAGGTCCCACTGTAGTTGCAGAGCCCCTGCTTAGCTCTTGGTCTGTGATGAATGAGGCTCTGTGATGTAATCTTGTAGCTACCTTTAATCTTCACCCTCAGAAAGTGGCACTTGCTTGTCCCGTTTCTGAATATTAAGCGTGTCATCAAAGGTCATCGCCTAGGCTTACGGTATCGTCTCTGGAGAGAAGGTCACATTCTGGAGAGATTCGTACCACCGTCCCTAGACAGCTGCAGAGATGTTGCTCCCCATTAGCTGTAGAGAGTCAACAAATTCCAGACTAGATACCTAAATTTCAGATAGATGAGGTGTAGATGACGTGAATCTACAAGAAACTTTTCAGTGGAATGGAAATGAAAGTGGTAATGTCATTGTACCACCTTAATTCTTCATCTTCAGATTGTCTTATGTCCACTTAAAAGTAACAACAGAGGTTTATGGTTGCAATTGACTCCATGAATATATGCAGTTGAAGGCATTTGAAGACAGAACTTATCGCATGTTGCAGGGGTAAAAAACTTAGATCACACACAGGCTCTAATTATTTTCAGAGGAGACAAGGGAGGAGGAAGCCTCTCTGTGTTGGGTACCTGTCTTCTGTCAGCTGTTTGGAAAATCGGCTTTGTTTGCCATCTGCGTTGTCATGTTTGTTGCAACACTGGGAGGACAGCTGGGGTCACTGTCTCTGGCAGCATTCATGCTTAACAAGCTGTTCCCTGAAGTTCTTGAATTGCTTATCTGTGTTTTTCATTTTCTTCCACCAGTTGTAATCATGTGTGCCAGCGGTGACACAATCAGGAACATCATGTTGGCTGCTCATCGGCAAGGAATGACCAATGGGGACTACGCTTTCTTCAATATTGAACTCTTCAACAGCTCATCATATGGTAATGCTTTTCCTGCCCAAGTATGTTGCAAAGTCTTCTGTAAGCCTGGTAATATTTTTAGATTTGTTAACCTCAAAATATGCAGCACTGAGTCCCAGAATACACCACTGACTCTCCCCGTTGTTGCAGTTAACTTCCACTTGAGCTATGGTATTGCAGGAAATAAAATGGACCTCATACCTGTAGTTGCCACTGTGCAAATCACAAGATGCCAGATACACTATAGGTATTACTTAGTTACTTGTAGGGGAAGCAGCACCAGATGGTGACGTTGGTTGTAGCAGCCAGGTGTGGGTACCCCATGCTGCAGTGTGCATGCTTGGCTGTAGGTCGCTTGCACCATCCCCAGCCCTGTGACTGCCAGATCTCAGGGCAGGCTGCTTCTGGCTGCCTGTGGGAAGGGGACACTAACAATGGACAGGGCCACGGGCAGCTGCAGGGCCTGGGTCTCCAGAAGTCACCTCTGTGCTGTGGGATCCACGCGTGTAGTTTGGTTTGGCTTTTGATCAGAAGCTGCATCTGCAAAAATGGTCATCAGTGTTTTGTCAAAGGGAAAGTACTGGATGGGATGTGGACAGTCCAAATTTACTACAGCAGGGTGGATAAAAGTGGCTGATTCCACCTCTAAGTAAAAAAGATCAGATTTGCCAAATTAACACATGACTTTAATATGTAAATGAAATACAATTATGTTTTGAAATATACCTGTATTCACTTACATTTGGTATTATGGCAGTGCATGGCAGGGACTAAACCTGCTCTCAGCTGTTACAGCTGTCTCAGTTAAATTCAAAGTAATTCTGGAGCAATGTGTTTGCTGAGTTTTAAACAACAACAGATGGCTGATGCTGAGGCAAGTTTACGCCTGGGAGCTAGGTTTTGCTGAAGTGTCAATGTGGCTTTTGAAAGGAGCAACCTCTTTCGCAGGTGCAGAGAAAATAATTTCCCCCCTGCAGGCTGCCTTAACTAATCCACTACAATAACAAATTAATTTCAAATTGAAAACCAAGTGGGAGTTGAGAGAATGAAAACTTGTTTTTCTTCTTGCTTTCAAACCTCAAAAAGCTGACCAACAGGAAGAACTGAATTCACAAAAGGATGATGTATTTGTTTCATAAATCAGTTATTTGTAAGTTACATTCTTTTGTATAAACTTTGTTATTCATCTATCAGCTCTGAGATTATTTCACAGTAAACAGTGCTGTTTGAAAAGCTCTATAATGAATGTATGTAGCTGTTTAAATTTGGAGATGTAGATATGTACAGGAGTACAGATACTGCTACATACATCATTTAAGTTAGCTGAAGAAGTGCCAAGTTTTGCCGGGTAATAAGGAAATCACTTAAATAACTAAAAGGTAAAGTTGCAGAACAAGATCAAAGCCAATGGTTTGAATCAAGATTTTATTTCCTTTGAGTTGAATTTGGAGTGACTTTATCCCTTGTGGCATAAGTGAAACCATTTGACATTTCAGCCTTAATCAGGACCAGAGCAAAAAGCTGAAGGTCTACCCATATAAGCAGTCACAAGGCCCTGAAGTTTTGGATTTTCTGTAGACCCTGAGAGCTTTGCAGGCTTGACTTCACTAGAAACTACTGATCAGATAGCCCCTCTGGCTGGGGCGGTGGCTTGTTATCCCTGTGCATCAGTAGAAACGCATCAGAAGTGATTCATCTGGCCATAGCTACAAGTCTGTGTGTGAGCTGAGCTTCCTTTGGAGTCACAGGAGAGAAATGGGCACCCCTGGACAGTGATTCACCTCATCCTTAGGTGTCTGCAGTGGCTCAAATGAATCATCCCCTACGACTGATAGTTTCCTTGCCTTGGCTGAAATCAGTGCAGGATGACTGCTGGGAAGCACTGGAGCTGTCTGGGACAGATGGTTCCCAAAGTTCTTGATAAGGGGATGCTCACGGAGGAGCAGTGGCTGCAAGAGGTGGGCTGCTGCATTTTGGAGTGGTTTTGCTTTCCAAAATGGTATTTGTTAGGAGATGGGGGAGGTTGCAGGAGGCAGTGTTTCAGTCTCCAGGCTCAGGACCCTGCCGCAGGAGGGACCCTGGCATCATGGCTGATGTGGGGTGGGTGTTCCTGGTGATGCAGCCCCCCGTAGACAACAGTTTGCTCAGCTGTGTACAGGGCAGTGCTGTGCCATCCTGGCATGGGACCTCTGTGTAGCACAGTGCCTCACAGTCAGGTGGGAGCCTCAGCACCATCCTCCTTTGCATCACAGGTAGTCCAGTCATCTTGTACTTTTTTCAAGGGATTAATGAAATCTGTCTGCCTTCTGATATAGTGTAGTTAAAATGTGGCATTTCCTGACATTTCAAAGTAATAATTCTTCTAAACTAATTTTTCAGTTTCTTTGTGGATGTGTTTCCCATGAAGAGTGAAGTAACTGTGTATCACAAATTGACTTTTGTGCAGATGGTCATCACATGTGGAAAGCAAGCATAAAAGAGAAATACAGAGACATTCCCCCAAAAGTCCTTGTTCCCAGTGCCTGGAGATACTAGTGTGGGTGTGATTGGCAAATTGGCACTTTGCCTTTAAGTCCAGATGATCATATTGCAGTTTGTTGTTGCCCTCTGTTCTGAATATTTTTAATTTTTCAGAAGAGCAGGCATATTAAATGCCAAGGCTGCAATAATTGTACATAAATACTGTGGCAAGATGACCTCCTGCAAAATAATCCATGAAGGAGTTTAAATATGTAAATTATTCTAGGAACGCTGTTATGCAAGTGTACCTTCCCTGCTCCCAGTGTCAGGATTTTTAAAAATAAATGTGTATAGTGTCCTGGACAGAAACTCACATTCTTCCAGCACGACCATTTTTTTGGGGTCGCTCTTTTTAGTTAACTCCATTTGTAAATGCAGAGTTAGAGCAGAGGCCTCCATGGTGTCGTCTCTGCCGTACTTCTTGAATACTGCACCCCTTAAATGCAGGTACCCAGCTGAGGCAGTGGCCTTTCAGTTCTAAGTCTTTGGCAGGGCTTGTACCCTCCTGTGGGGGAGCTAGCAGGACATGCTAGTTTACAATTGCCAAATGTGTGTTTATTTTTTTTCCAAAGCAGTAACAAGGACAGGGTGCAGGCACTGAACGGAAGAGTGCTACCTCTGAGGGCAAAACCAGGTGGTGGGCTGTTAGTTGCTCTCCAGTGTTTCCATCAGGTCTGATGGATGGCGTCCTGGTGTAAGTAATTTTGACTGGTTAAACTTGGTATTGGGAAAGAAATCCCTAAACCAAGGCAGATGTGTCTAGAGCGTCTTCCTTAGACAATGAAATCACTTCAAAAAAAAAAAAAAAAAGAAAAAGGAAAAGGAAAAAGAAAAGAAATTAAGAATTAGGAAGGTTTGTGGTATTTACAAAGATTACAGTACTAGCTGGTGCTGAGCTGTGGTTAATAAGGCTTTCCTGGTGTGGAAGAGAGAGGTAAAAGGGCTCAGATGGTCCTGTGCCTTCTGTTCTGTGCTGGAAGTGACAGGAGCCAAAAGGAGCAGAAGAAAAGACTTGTCCTCTGGAGAAGTGCAGATCCTTTGTTCCTTCCCCCGTCCTCTCTGAGGAAGCAGAGCAATTCTCCAATTGCATTTTGTCCAAAAAAAAGTCCCAGTGGTGATGTTGGGGTACTGGGAGGACAAAACACAGGCTCTGCATTCACCTGCTTTGGTGGGACCGATGTGGTCTGACCATGAATTTGCTCTTACAGGCATGTGATGCAGCTGGTAGTGCTGTGCAAGGAGCACCACGGGTTTGATACCCGGACTCCATCTGCATTAGCATCTCCACTTCCAAACTGTTTGCTTCTCTTGGTCTCAATAACAAGCAAAGTGGCCATATCCCCTCTCATCTCAGGGATCCATGTGCCTCCAGGTCTTCCTTGGGAGCTTAACGTTAGTCTTCATCACCCAGCCGCTTGCTCACACCCCCCTGGTAGGATGGGGGTGAGAATCAGAAGAGTAAAAGAGAGAAAACTCATGGGTTGAGATAAAGACAGTTTATTAGGTAAAGCAAAACAAGGTATTAATTCACCATGTCCTATGGGCAGGCAGGTGCTCAGCCAGGCTCCATCACACACATCAGTTGGGCAGATAAACTCCATCACTCCAAACGTGTCCCCCTTCCACCTCCTTCCCCCAGCTTTATATGCCGAGCATGCCACCACATGGTATGGAGTATCCTTTGGTCAGCTGGGGTCAGCTGTCCTGGCTGTGCCCCCTCCAGCTTCTTGTGCACCCCCAGCCACTCACTGGTGGGGTGGTGTGAGGAGCAGAAAAGGCCTTGGCTCTGTGTGAGCACTGCTCAGCAGTAACTAAACCATCCCTGTGTTATCAACACTGTTTCCAGCACAAATCCAAAACACAGCCCTGTAATAGCTGTTAGGAAGAAAATTAACTCTATCCCAGCCAAAGCCAGCACACTGAGTTACATTATTCCCCTGCTGTGACACAAAACACATGTAAATAAAGCATAATTTCAGGATCTCATTTTATATCTGTGTTTCTTTTCCATTAAGAGCAGGGTTGGTCTGGCAGCCACTGCACACATGGTTTTCTTCTTGACTGCAGTAGGAGAGCTGTGGGAGAAGTAGCTGCACCATCTGCCTCCTGTTCGGGGTGATGATCATCCTATTGACTTTATTGGTGCCTTTCTGACTGTCCAGGAGTGTCTCTGGTGGAGTGATACATAACAAAATTGTTGTGGTCAAATCCTTCCTTGCTTGTTCTAACTTAAATATCGCTGTGCTTGAGATTTGGCACATTTTTTTTCTCAGAGATGTCTTCTCAAGCTTAGGCTTCATCCTGATCCTTAAAAGTAAGGAAGCACAGCTTGGGAGTAAAGTTGTCCTTCTGTTTGCACATTTACTTCCCACCAGCCGTTCCATCCTGCCTCTTTTGCTGCACATCTTGGAGCAGGTTCAGTTTTCTGTTGTACTCTGCCACCTCCCCAAAGTGTGGAAGAGGGGAATTCTGGGTGGAAGGAGGAAGGCAATACTAAAGCGGTACCTAATTTGTAGTTGGAAATACGCTTGTTTTCCCCTTAGGAAATGGCTCATGGAGAAGAGGAGACAAACATGACCTTGAAGCCAAGAAGGCATACTCATACCTCCAAACTGTCACTCTGCTGAGGACCGTGAAGCCTGAGTTTGAGAAGTTTTCCCTGGAGGTGAAAAGTTCCATTCAGAAGCAAGGTCTACATGAGGATGACTACGTAAGTACTTGATGATAGGCTTCAGGTCTTATCTTCAAAATCGTGCTCCTAATTCAGACAAAAGTAGCAGTGAGACTTTATCAGGACAGATTCACCCGGGTTCAGGTGTAAAATCTAACTGTTACCTATAAAATATCTTTTTTTTTTTTTTTATTGTTGTTGTTTTGTTGTGAATAATGCAAATAGTGAGAATAGACTTGGTCTAGGTGCACTAGGTCTGTGCAGCACCATTCATGACCAATTGTCCTGTGCTCGTCCCCTTGTTCATGAGCAGGAAGGTTGCAGAAAGTCAGATTGCCAGGTCTCTCTCCCTCTCTCGCCAATCATTAGTCTTTTTTTATCAGGCAAAGAACTATAGTCTTCTTTCTTGTTTTCTCCTAATTTTTTTTTGGTGGAATCAGATCTCAGAAATTTGTACTCTCTGTATTGCATCTGATGAAGTTTGTCTGGATGTGAATGAGAAAAGTGGTCTTATTTCCCAACTAAGCATATTTAGACTGTTGCTCTTGTTGTTTATTTTAAACTGTCTAAAATATCATTACAGTCCTTGTGAGTTGTTTTAAGCCTAGGGAAGTGCCACTGTCCTCCAGAGATGGAAAATATGTCTTATTTTAATCTCTCCAAATATAGGAGGAAGATGCCTCTGAAAACTGCTTTTGAGCTACTGCTAAGGTAGTTCGTTAGCTGTTTTCACATGAAAGTTTTTTATGAAAGCAAGAATGTATAGCACATACCTACAGGGATTTCTGCATGCTGATACAAGTCCTTCCCAGTCAGTCAGACTTCCCCATGATGGGGAATAAACTTTCCGAACACGCTTGTAAAGGAAAGAGGCTTGAAGAGAGCTTGGTCAGTTTTTAGCTGTAAGAAATGAGAGCTAGAAATTGATGCCTGAAACTCAAGAAAGCAACCCAAACCCCTTATTTACCAGCTCCTGCTTAGGCATCTACCTCATCTCTTTGCTTTAAGCATTGTGTCCGTCACAGGTGGAAGCATCATCTTTAGTTTGAAGCACAATGAAGTTGAATGTTGTGTTAATAAATGAGCTTTCCTGCAGTTTATTGCATAACCCTCAGCTGTCTTCAGAAACCCCGTGCTGCTTAGAACTTGAATATATTTTATTTAAATATTTTACTTAAAATGTTAAGTTTGAATCACATCAATGGCTTACATTTTATTTTTCCTGTTAAACTTTCACAGTCTAGGCAGGCAGAAATAGTCTTTTGTTGGCATTCTTTGCCTTGGGTTAGTGGAGAAACCCCAACTGCTGAGTTCAAGGTGTGACTCTGAAGAACCTGCTAAATGAATTTTGAAGAAGGCATGGGACTGCAATTTGCCTCTGTGTGCCCTCTTGCAGGTGTCACTTAGCACTATGTACCTTTAAAATATGCCATGTGCTCTTGGTTGTGATTGGTGAGAAACATGAATTTGAATATTAAAGACCCACAGTTTTGTGGCTTTTTTAGTCTGGGCAGTGTGACGTTTCCCCAGATGAGAAAAGTGTTAAACTGCCGAGAGTTCAGGATGCTGTCTGTGGGCGGTTTGGAGGCAGACAGGGGGGTGCTTTGCTGTTCTTCAGGATGGGGACCCACTGCAAACCCTATGCAAGTTCAGTGTTGATAGACACTGGATAGATGCAAGTCTATCCAGACTGCAGACTACCCAGAAGTGGATTCATGAGAGCAAATCCCGCCCTTTGCTGGCAGGGGAGAGATTTTGCAGGCCGACGTGTTTGTTGGGGAGACTCCTTGCACAGCTGCATATCCACTGCCAGAATTCCTCTTTTCTTTTTCCTCACTCCACAGTTGCTTGTGCGATCAGCCACCCGTGCTGGCAGTGCTCCTGCCTGTCCCAGGGCAGCTGCGCGGGTGCCTGGCTCCCTACCACCCTCATCTTCTGCCTTGCTCAGAGGGCTGCCTCTCCATGTATCCCATTCCTACCTGTGATCCGGAGCTTTTCATGTTACTCCCTCACCCCAAAATGTCAGCCTTTGCTAGGACTAGATAGCGGCATGGGGCCCCTCCTGCTGCTGCTGCCTCTCCTACTCCTCTTTCTGCTCTTCCTTTCCCACCTGGCTTTCTACACATTTTTTGATCTCTGGTTGTCAGGGCAAAGGGAGGACGTGTGATCTGTGTACACCTACCACAACTTCCTGCCATCCGAAACATCAGTTTTTCACTCATGGGAAGCTTGTGATGGAGGCTGTAGGGTTCTGGGGCTCCCTGTGGAGGAGATACAGATCATGGCTATGGAGGAAGGAGGTTTGGTTTCACATGCAGAGTGTCCTGGTATTACACGGGTGCTTAACTTATATAGGTCTCCGCAGAGCAACTCCCCACCTTCTTTCTTGCAGCCTCCTAACCCAATGGGAAAACAAAACATTTTTGAGAGGAGTAGTGTTGGGTTGAGCATAGCAAAACCCATTAGCTCTGTTACTTCATTAGCAGTTTATGAGTTTTAATTATCTATCTGGTTTGTTTTTCATCATTTATGAATTTTACATTTCCCTACTTTGGACAATGGGAAAGAGATACTTAATATTCTGTTAACTGATTGTCCTGTTGCCATGTTCAGAGGAGAAATATTTTGAGGCAGCCTTCAGTCTTCAGGAAAAAATCAATTTTAAAAATCAATGGGGAAAAATAAAAAGCCAAATTGAGGGCCACTTCCTTCCTCTCTGAAAGATATGTGGGTAGTGAACACCTCGTTAATGGTGCTTCTTTTGGCAGCATGGGAAGAAAAGGGCAATTTTGGCCTGGGTGCATGCTAAGCAAGGCTGTGTTATCCAAGGGAAGCTTGGGAAGGAGAGGTCCTACAGCTGAGTGGGTGGGAAGTAATAGACTTAGATTTTTCTCTGGATTCTGCTCCTGAAAACAGAATCTCTGGGGAAAGATAGCCGGTGGTACAGCCCATCTCAAGTCCTATCTACGAGTGTTGAAATATAATCCTCATCCTTTTGTGCTGTGTCTCAGGAGGATGAACTCAGGGAGGTTTGGATCTGAAGCGTTCAGTTTTCTGCTTCTCTGTGTGGATTTTTTCAGTGTCATGGGAAAATGGGGCCCCAGATCCGTGGTCTAAATTATCTCTCAGTGACCCGAACTCAAACAAAAGTTGTTAGTGCTGCCATTTTGTCCTGGCCTCTTGCCAGCGCTAATCCTAAAGGCATTATTATCTACCAAAAAAGAATATCATAAAAATGGAAAATAAGCAGATGACAGAAAGAAAGATAAGGGAGACAGAAAGGGCGAAGTCCTAAAGCAGCAGCTTTCCAGTTGCCAGATGGAGAACACATACAGCCCTTGGAGGAGTAACAGGTCAAAGGGCATTGACCATCTTCATCTCCAGCTGTGAAATCACACAGAAGAGAGAAAAATGTGCTCTGGGTATGTCTTTTCCAGATCAGAAATTGCTGTTGTTTCTGCATGGGTGTTACCCTGTGAAAGTGTGAAAGGTGGAAGAACCTGTGCCCTGTGAGTGAGCAGGAAAGCATGGAAAATTCAATTTCTCTGACTCCTCCAGGAATCTCTCCTGTGAAGGAAGAAGCTATCTTAAGCACTTTTTAACTAGACAGCATCAAAAATAAGAGTGGCAGAGAAGTTCTGAGAAAACATCTTAGAAGCATTTGGGCAGGCAGTAGTTGCATAGGAAAGGGCTAAAAATGGTGGTGTTCCCTGTCTGCAATGTCCCATTGCAACATCCTGTTGCAACAGCTGCCTGAATCCATTAGCAGATATTATAGTTTGCTTGATCATCACTTTCAGACTCTGAAAGCAGTTACTGTCATGTTAATGTAACCCAAGGAACTGTGGGCAGAAGCATCAGATCTACTCAGCCCTCCTTTCAGCATTCAGTAGCATGATTTTTTTTTTTTCAAGAAACATCCTGTAGTTCTGTAGAAAGCCTAACCATTTTATTTTCTGCCTACCTGGAGGCTGACTTCTCTGATAAAATTGCCAAAAAAAGAGGAATTTTTTCAAAAACCCATTCAAATTCGAGATTCAGGCATAAGGACAGTAGAATCACTTTAATGTTATTACACAAATAATAGCAGTTTTCTCAATTCTGTAATGTTAATGAGTTATCAAGGCATTAGCAGCAACTTGTCATGGTCTCTATAAACCAATTTTTATCCTTGGTGTAATTTCAAAATACAGGACAAGCTCAGCTATAGGCTAGGTGAGGGCAGACAGCGATGGGAATTGCATGCATTTACTTGAAGCAAGAATTTGAAACTGTCTCTGAATTGGTGTGTGAATAACTTCCAACAGTTACTCTGTTTATGAATAAATAGTGTTTTAGTTAAAGTATATGCACAAGCCATTTTTATTAAATAATGCCGAACGCTTAATGAATTGGTGGTAGGCTGCAGTTTGGAAGCTCTTAATGCACCTTCTGTTCCTGACTCAGGCCTAGGATTCAATAAATGCTTTTTTTATGTCCAACCCAGTATTCTGAGCTGGGATGATTTTACAACCCAGGATATTTGCTCTTCTGAGGTTACAGACCACCCATGGCTTGTTTTCTCTTCTCATTTAAAAGCTGAAAATGTAACTAATTAAACAAATATTTCTGCTGTGTTAACTACATGACAGCATTGTTTGCGAAGTGGATGAGTGGGTTTTACCCTATCCACAGCCCTTTTCACACAGAAAATGAGCAGCAGGAGAAGGGAACCAAAGCCCAATTTGCCTGTAAAGTTATCTCAGTGAAAGAATGGGCTACATAGTTGAATTAGAACAGTGAGATGTTACTACCTATTAGAAAGGGTGAGTCTGTTTTATTTAACATTTTCAGCCCTCTGAAATGAGAATGGTCCACATAAGAGCGACTGTTCAAGCTCCAACAGTTAACTACAAAAGCTACGTGGGAGGTAGCTGTGCTCATAAAGTTTATCATCTTGTCCATAACATCCCTGCCAGACTCTCCCCCGTGTGTATTCCTTACGTCAGCCTTTTAATTAGGATTGTACAGCAGCTAAGATAAGGGTTGGGAGAAGCGAG